CCCCCAAGTGACAACCTCACACAGCCCTTGTGATTATGCGGTGAGATAATGCCTGTGAGACATTCAGCACAGTGCATGACACACAGTAAGTGCCACTCTTATTATCAATATGCACGCAGTCTTGTTCCATTTCATTTCTCCTTTTGTCTTGAATATCTAAAAAAAAAATCTGTCACTATGTGTTTTTCCAGATGAAATATAGGATCCTTTGATGATATTCTAAGGAAAAAAAGCTTCCCTTCAACCCTTGCCCTACCCCCACCATTGCAATAGTTGCTACATCAACATATAAATGATCCTGAGGGGGGAGCGTCTTAATCCAAGTGTAGGACAGGGGTGACCAGCAGGGATTGGAAGCATGGCTGTCATGGGTACGGCTGGAAAGAGATGAGGCAGAGAGGGCTTGAGGGGAAGAGTCGCTGAGTTCTGGTTGAAAGGGGAGCATGGTACACTCGGGTGTGTCCAGGATGGCCAACGTAGAGTTGGAACTAGAGAGTGCAAGGGAAGATCTGTACAGTAGGCTGAAGCCAGATAACATAGGGCCTTGTGGGCATGGAAAGAATTTCTTATGTTATCCTACAGGGGGTGGGCAGTTATTGGTGGGTTAGTGGCATGTGGCATGACAAGATTGGCATTTTTAAAGATCAGCTGAATTAGAAGGGGGCAGGAGTGAATGATGGTAAAGGAGTTGGAACGCTATCCCAGGAAGGCAGGAGAAAGTGATGGCAGCTTGGTCTGGGGGAGAGAGGGGATGATGAGGGAGGAGAGTGGTGGTGATGTGCAGGTGAGGGAAGAATGGCACTGGGGGAGATGGGAGTGGTGGTGGAGCAGTGGTGATGGGAAGATGGTCGGGGTAGGGTGATGGGGTTGGTTTCGGGGGCTGATGAGTCACAGTGAGGATGGTGATGGGGTGTAGATGAGGGTGGGCAGCGGGTAGAAACAGACAAGTGGACGAATACGAGAGATATTCATCAGGTCAGATTTCCAGGGCATCATCCTGGTTTGGACCTGGGATGGGAAAGAAGAGGGAAGTGTGGGAAATGACTCGGATTTGAGTGGATGGGACAACGTGAGCTCTGCAGAGGGAGCAGTTTGGGGAAAGAAGAGGAATCTAGGTTTGGACTACTCAGATTGAGGTGCTGAGGGACAGCCAGGCAGAGATGACACTGCTTATCTGGACCAAGGAGGGCAGAGTGGGGTCCCAGGGGCCTGGAAAGAGGGGATCTTGAGGAGTGGGTGGTACACAGTGTTGAATGCTCCCGGGATGGTGAATAAGTTAAAAAATACAATGGTGCCTGGTGGGCTGGGCTCCACAGGGTCACCACTGACCTCGAAGAGGGCCGTTTGGGCGGCGAGGTGGAAGCAGGAGCCAGACAGGAGTGGGCTGAGGAGTGCGAGGGAGGTAAGGAGTGGAAACAACTGTGCAGACAGCTTTTTGGAGAGTTTGGCTATGACAGGGAGGCGAGAGATAGGGGGCAGCCAGAGGTAGAAGAGGGGTTCAAGGAAGGTTTTCTTTTTATTTGGTCATTGGAATGTCTAAATGCTAATGAGAAGGGGCTGATAAAAAGAGAAGTGCTGGAAACCTACAGGTGGTGGATGGGCCGAGATGCGGAGCAGGTGGAGGGGAGGGGAGCCAGGCACAGATAGGCGCACGTTGGTAGAAGTGACCTCTTTTCTGTCTGGACAGGGAGGAGGAGGGCAGGCAGATGGCCAGAAGCTTGGAGATGGCAGGTTGAGGACAGTCCCATGGAACTAGCCTCATGCCAAGGACGAAGGCTCAGAGTTTGGGGAGCGAGAAGGGGGCACGAAGGAGTTTTGCGTGAGAGCCGAGTAACAGAGAAAAGCCCAGAATCAGCGTGGCACTGGTCAGAGGTCATTGTGGACCCTGAGCCAGCTCCGAGTCTAAAGTTAGGGTCAAGATTAAATCAAGGGGCAGCGAAGGCTCTGTCCAGAGTAGGGAGCCGATGGTTAAAACACAGTCAGAGCCCCTCATGCACCCCTGGGGTTTATCCCAAGCTCAGGGTGCCTCCAAGGGGCCACTGAGGTCAAAAGTGGGTTCTCCCAGTCACTCAAACTCCAAGTGTCTGGCCTGACCTGATTCCCATCCAAGAACCCTCCACCCCAAGGGGCGATACCAGCCCAGACTCCACTCTTCTTTCGGGCCAGCAGGGCCCCCCAGTCCAGCTCCCCCTCCCCACAGCTGGACACAAGCCGAGTCCCGCCCAACTCAGTCCAGGGTGAGAATTCCGGCCACACGTCTCTGTGATGTGGTCACGTTGGAAAAATGTTAATCAAATATTCTCCTCCGTGTTTCCTTTCTTTCCCAGGCTGGATTCCTAGAAGACAGGAATTTATGGTGTGAGAGCTCCAGCCCCCGCAAACCCACAGCCAAGGTCAACAGCACGAGGCGGGCAGCGCTGCCAAGCAAGGAGGGGAGCCCAGAAAACCAAAGTACATGCTTTTAAAAAATTCCCTTCTCTCCCTCACGTTCCCAAATAGGGGGCTCAAACAAGGTCCCCCAGTCTGGCCCAGATGAGCCCCTTGTCTGGGAAAAGCACCCCACTCAAGAGACAGGGTCTGTGGAGCCGCTGTTGGGCCCTTGGGCCCAAGGAGGGTCTGAAAGTGGCCCCATTGCTGAGTCCAAGCACAGCAGCCCCCATCTGGTCTCTAGGGGTAGTGGGCGGGCTACCCATGGTACCCCCTCCTTCTGGTCAGTGAAGAACAGCTGAGTTGAACACAGGTGCCCTGGGCCCTGTCACAAAGTCCCCTGAGGTGAGAGCCTCACTCTCCCAGTCTCCTCTCTGCCTTCTGGGATCTGGGGTGTTGACTGCCCACCCACAGTTAATGCCCTATGCCCCGGGGCCATGGCTCCCTGTCACAGGCTTTGTCCCAGAGTCTCTGGCAGCAGAGAACAGGCTTATTCCTGGGGAAGCTGAGGGGAGGTGAGGATAGGCCTGGAGACCACCTTGATTCAAACCCCAATGACTCAGTGCTGCCCAGGCAGCCCCAACCCTGGCCATGAGCCCCTGAAAGTGTGACTAAACGTCCATGCATCACCTGTTCACCTGCCACTCGCTGAGTCCCATGGGAAGAAAGAACAGGGCAGCCTCCTGCCTCGGAGAATCTCCTCCAAGTCAGAGTGGAGGGAAGGCTGACTTGAAAATAGAGGGTGACCAGCATGTGAGGGGCTGTGGATCCCCACAGGAGAGAGTGACCCCCTGGGGTTGGGAGAAAGGATATGGTCAGAGAAAACTTCCTGAAGAAGGTGTCCCCAGCAGGTGGTCAGAGTTCACCAGGTGGACAGGGGGCAGGAAGGGGGCTTCAAAGGAACATACCAGCTAAGTCCGCAGTATGTGCAAAGGCCCAGAACATTTATACCCTGTTAAGACTTCTCATATAAATAAATTCTCAAACCTAGAACAAAACAAAACCCAAAAACCCTGGCAAACCATGTGTATAGGTTTCTTGCTCAGAGAACAAGTCCTTGCTCTGTCCCTGGAACCCAGGAACCAACAGAGTGTGTGGCCTGACCCAGCTCTCAGGCTCCTAGTCCCCAGCCTGTCCTGCCTTCCTAGCAGCATCACCCTGCCTGCCTGCCCCCAGGGGGTCTGCCCCTACTTCCATCCACACCCTCAGCTCCAGCCTCACAATGCCTGCTTCTGCCTCCGCACCATCTCCTTCCTAAGGCAAATTACCACCTTTAGCCTGTTCTTGTGTGTACCAGGAGTCAGGAAGGGATGGGGGACAATTCCCGAGATCCCCAAAGTCTCTGCTCCCTGGGTACCTTGAGTGCAGGGAATCTGAACCTCCTGCTTGTATTTTATTTTTGTAAATCTCTGTTTGGTCCCCCAAGCACAGAGGGTTTATTTACATTGTCCCTTTCAGTCCCGTTGCCCTGCCCCCTCAGTCAGCCTTTCTAATGCATGTCCTTTTATTCACGTGTGTTCTTGTAAAACGTGGACTCTTAGTGGCTGGGTCTGAGGATGACGTGTCTCGGAGCTAGATAGGGTGATGGCACCACATCATGAATACACTAAATGCCACTGGGTTGCACACTTCTAAAATGGTAAATGGTTAATGTTAGGTTATATGAACATTAGCTCAGTTTAAAAACTGGGTGTCACTGTTTAGGGGGATTTTCATTTCCGTGAGTGGAAATTTCTTTCTGACTTTTTCTACTTGGGGATGTTTTTAAGTTCTAACAACGTAGTCTTGTCTGTATCAGGCTTGCTGCTCCACATGGTTACCTGGTGACCCTCAGAGGTTGGGGGTTGGCCACATTGTACACCTACACCCCAGTGATGGGCACCGAGGGGGCCCCATTCCTTACCACCCCAAGCAGTACTGCCATGGACGTCCCATTGTGGGCCTGGGTGGGAGCATTTGAGGATTGCTGGGTCTGAAGGTATATAGTCACTTAATTTAACAAAGCCCTGCTAGATGGCCCTCCAGCGGGGCCAGCCACTCCTGCCTACATTCCTGCTGCCATTTGGCATTACCTGGCTCTCTGATACCCAGCAGTCTGATAGGTGTTAAGAAATAACTCATTGTTTTAATTAGCATTTCTCTGTTTATAACTGAGTTTGAGGCTCTTTTCCTGTGTTCTCTAGTTGTTTCTGTTTCCTCTGAAAATTGCCAGTTCATACCCTTAGCCATTTTTCTTTTGAGGCAGCTGTCTTTTTCCCCTTGCTTTGTTAGCATTCTTTGTATATTCCAGGTCACAATTCCTTGTTGCTGAAAAACCACAAATAACATCATCCTCCCATCTGTCACTTTGGGGTCCTTCACTGAACCAAAATCCCTAATTCCAGCTGGAGATTTTTGAAGAACTCGATACACTTACTCTAAAGTGGATATAGAAGACAAATTCGTGAATAGAGCGGACTTGCCCTGCCCCATTTTAGCACATACGACAAAGCTGCTGGGAGGAAAACAATGTGGTGTGGGTGCAAAACAGACAAACGGGTGATGGAACAAATGAGCAGGCTCAGAGACAGAACTTAACACATCACAGGTCCCCGGGGAAAGGATGGACTGGTTAATAGGTTTGAGGAAATGCGCTCACTTTATGGAGAAAAATTACAACCGGATCCCTACTTAATATCTCGTAAAAAGGTGACTACAGATAGAGTAAAGACAGAACTAGACGTAAAAAGTAAGTCTCTCAATTTGCTAGAGTGACTGTTGGAGAAGATCTTTGTAACACAGGAGTGGGAAAGGACTTCTTAAAACAAAACCCCCAAAGCACAAACCATAAGGCAAAAACGGCGGGCCTCCAGCCTTATCCAGAGGAAGTGGCATTTCCTCCCGGATGCCAGCCTCGGCCCTGCCCACCTGGTGAGTCATGGGCTCCCTCGCTTTCGAGGCTGGCGGCCTGGCCCGCCCTTCCCGTTCGTCCCCAGGAGGGAGCAGTGTGCAATGCCCGCCTTATCTCGCCCTCACCCAGGCCCTGCAGACATGAGGTCAGGGCTGGGGATGTGATGAGGGTGGGAGGCAGGAGACAGCGGAGGGGTCAGGGAGAGGTCTGGGTCGCTGTCAGACCTGCCGCTGCCCTTTCAAGGTGGGAGTGGGAGACAAAGCAGGCCTCGAGGGTCCCCGCCAGCCTCTGGGGCTGGGGACAGTGCAAGGCTCATGTCATCAGGGAGTGGCAGGGGTAAGGGGAACAGGGACACATGTGGCAGCCTAGTGGATCAGAGGGCCCTGGATTAGGGTCTCCAATCTAGGACTCTATCTGCACCCCTCCCCACCTCCCAGCATCCTCTTCAGTTTCTCTAATGGCTCTTTGGGACCAGCTCTTCCAGCCAAGACCCAGCCAGACTGAGGAGCCCTTGAGAGAACAAGCAAGGGTGTGCTTGCCTCCCACAGTGTGTGACTGCGCTCTGCCGGGGGGTCTCTCTGGGGCAGTTTATGTGTCTGTGTCTCACCCTTCTGGTCACCCAGCACCAGCCCTGTCCTCAAGGCACTACAGGTCCCTCACAGCAGCAGGATAAGCATGCATCTGGGTGCCCAGGTTCAAGTCTGTGCATGTGGATCCACATGTATCTGTGATTATGTGTGTGCAAATGTCCAGCTGTCTGTCCCCCTTGTGTTATTCCTCAGTCTGTGCCAGCTGTGCCCTTTTCTCAGAAGGTCCCTGATGATAGGTGGGACAGGGTGGTGTGCCCTCCACCTGCCTCTGGGCATCCTGACCAGTGCTGGGCAGCAGTCTGCAAGCTGGGCAGTCTGGATCAACAAATATCTATTCAGGGGTGTATAGGTCGGCCCTGAGGGGCTCCCAGCCTGGTCTGCCTCCGTCTGCCAGCTTGCAGGACGTGGGAGGGGGATGTAGTCGTCCGCTCTGGCCAGCACTGTTATTCGTGTCTGTAGCTCGGGCTGCCCAACCCCCCATCTCCAGAGCCCTTCCTCTTCCCGGGGGTGCCAGATGTGGGGGTCTCTGTCCAGGGGAGGGGGAACCTGTTCTGTAGTCCATACCTCCCTCCACCCACACCCCTGCAGGAAACCCAGCTGTGCATAGAGAAAAAGCATTAGCCTGATTCTCCCAGCCATACAGAGCTACATGGTGATAGACAGACAGACGGAGACCTGTGTATACACACACATATAGACATGCATGTAGATTAAAATACTGCAACTAATTTGAACTTTTCAATCACAGTATAATATTATTTATGTAGAGAAGCACACAAATCATATGTGAATTCTCATCAAATCAACTGTGAATTCGGAGTGAACACGTGTGTTGACAGCGCCCAGGTCAACATGTAGACCTTTACCAGGCCCCCCAAAAGCTGTCTTACACCCTCTTCCAGTCACGACTCGCCCCCCCACCCTCCCTAGGATAACCACTCTGCTGGCCTCTCTCGCCATAGAGTTTTGCCTATTTCTGAACTTGATGTTCCTGGAATCCTAGAGTAAGCACTCTTTTACATCTGAGGTCCATCAAAGCTGTCGCTTGTAGCTGCCAGTGTACTTTTTGCATGTTTGATGCGGGCTATAGCTTATGTCTCCCCTCATTGTGCCCTCATTCCCCCCTGAGCTCTCAGGAACCCAGCCCTGGGAGGAAGATCCCAGAAAGAGCCTTTTCAAGAGAACAAACACCTCGGACCCCCTGAAACTACTGTCTCCCCAGTGACAGGCATGGCCTTTGGGGGCATCCACCAAACTGCCTAGACTTATGCCCCTAGTGCTGGGCAGTAGGGAGTGAGAGACCAGAGCCTTCCAGAAGTGTGCAGTGGGAAAGCAACCTGGGTCTGGATGGAAGTGCATCCTAGGTACAGTGGGAGACCCCACCCACCTGCTGCCTCTCTCCAAGAAAGGATGTGTTTGTGGGCCATTCAATCAACAATGCTCCCTCTCCAAGCCCTGAGTCTGTGCCGGGCACAAGGATGCAGTGATGGGTCAGACACACTGTCCAGATGCCCTTCCTCTCCTCCTTTGAGGCCCAGATTGAGTGACACCTCCCCTCTGAAGCTACCTCGACCCATTGTCGGGGGCCCCCCCAGACCCTGCAGCCCTTTCCTCAGTACCCCTAGGGTGGTGTTCTGCACATGGGATGTGATACCCCAAAAGTCATTCTAGGATGCAGATTTGATCATGTGGCCCCTCTGCTTTGTACCCCCCATGGCTCCCATTTACCTCCATAAAAATATTTAGACTCCTCCATCAGATATTTCACTTGGAAGGCTCTGGCCCCACTGGCCTCCCCACCTTTTTCTTTCCACTCTCCACTCGTAAGCCCCCAACTCAAAGCCCAGCCTGTGATTGGTGGCTTCTGTGCTTTCTGAATTGTGGTTACCCTAATTGCAATGCCCCCATCTCCCTTTAAACTAGCAAACTTCTCCTTGTCCTTGAAGACTTGGCTGAAATGTCCCCTTCTCTAGGAAGCTTTCTGTGACTGCCAAGGCATGGTCACTGCCTCCTCTGGGCTCCCATGGCCTCATGCTCCCCTCAGAGTAACCCATTCCTCCGTTTCAGTAGTATCAGTCTATGCAACCTGGGCTGGCACAGGCCCTGGGTGCATCTGGCTGCGGGAAGATGTCAGAGGGTCCTGGCCAGGTGGTCCAAATGAAAAACATCTCCCCAGGGATGAGCCAGCCTCTCCTCAGGCTGGCTTGGCAGGAGAGAAGGCAGTGTGATCCTTTGGGTTAGAAGCCAGTCTTGGACAGCACCTCTGATTTGGGCCTCCTGTGACCCCCCATCTGCCCCCAGGATCCAATATCCCCCTAACAGGGCTCCCCACCTGCACCAGCTAGTTCTCCTCAATGTAGCCAAAGGGCATCTGCTCATACACAGGTCTGAGCATGTTGCTCCCTGTCTCAAGCCCTCCATGGCTCCCCAGTGCCTTGGGGCAGTCTTGGCTGGACTCCCCTGGTCTGCTGACCTCTCCAGCCTCATATCTCAATACCCACACCTCATCCCCAGCACTTCACTCTACCAAAGTCCCTAAACTGTCCCCCCGAGCCTTTGCTCACTGTGCTACCTCTGCCCAGAGCAGTTTCTACACCCTCCACCTGGCCTCAGGTACTCTAAACGGATCCTGTTCTCTCTGGAGAGAACAGACCCCTCTGTCTTCATCCCCCTATACCCCCTTCCGCACCATCTGTCCTAGAGCTTGAGACACTCTGAGGGCCCCCTCTGGGCTTGTCTGTTGTCATCCCTCTAGACTGTGGACTCAGGGCTGAGGCACTGCTTGGTGCAACTTCATGCCTGGGGCCCGGCATGCAGTAAATGTTCACTGAATGAATGAGTGAATGCACCCATTTACAGACAAGGGACATGAGGCCCAGAAGAGTAATGACGGTGGTTCTGATCCATTGTGGAGTGCAGACATAGGCCTCTGAGTTTCTAAGAGGGTGTGGACTGATTTCCGGCCTCCAGGATCTGCCTGCTTCCCACCCTGCCACAGGTCAGTGCCCTGCAGGGAGCAGTAGGCTTAACCACCCCTCTAGGAGCCAGGAAAAGGGGGTCCCCTGGAGCAGCCTTTGGAGACCTCTGGGGATGCTTCCTGAGAACCAGGTCACCAGGGCATCTGTTCTGCAGAGCCGGGAGCTCTGGACAGGCCCTAGGCTCACCTCTGGGCCCCTCTTCTGCTCCCAAGCTGGGTGGGACTCAGGGAGGGGCTGGCAGCGAAGGGAGGGTATGGCGGGAGCAGGGAGGTGTTGGGGGAGAGGCAGGCCTGATTTACGAGGCAAGCAGTGATGGGACCACTTGGCAAGGTGGGCACACACGACAGATCCTTACAGATAAGGGCTCAGAAATATGTGAGTGATATAAACAGCAGGGGGCGGGCACCCCAGCTCCCCCGTACCAGCTGGAGACACTGGTACTGGGGCAGGTGGAGGCAGCCACCTTGGATGGAAGGAAGCATCGGTACCTTCCAGGACTGGACCCACCTCTCCCCACAAGCTGGCCTCAACCCCTCATTCTTCCTCAGATTGACACCTCCGCGCATCACTTCGTCATTGACCCTTCCCAATTCTGCATCCTCTTTCAAAGCAAACCTGTTCCAGATTCGTCCCTGACTTCTCCAAACTCTCTTTCATCGCTGCCCCTGGTCAGGTCAGTCTCTCCTCCTTCATGGCTCCTCTTGGCCATCCTCAAGCTCAGCCTTCCCGACCTCCCGCACTTGCTGAGTGTGCCCCACACTTCTTGCCACCTCGGGGCCTTTGCATACATGATGCCTTGGCTCTAAAGTCCCTCTTCACTGTGGTCTGCTGGCAAACTCCTAACCCAGCCTTCAAAACCCATCTCATAGGTCCCCTCCTCCAGAGTCATTCCTGCCTCCCTAAGGTAGAGTAGAGGCTACCCTCGCTCCCACAGCCCCTCACCCCATCCCAGTCCTCAATCAGAGTACTCAGCACTCTTGCCAACCTGCTCTCCCTTTGAGGGGGTTCCCTAGAGAAGAGTCTTCATGTGTGCCCTCTCTTGGTCCCTGACCTCCATCTTGGGCTGCTGAAGACAGAATCTCCAACTTCAAGGCTAGAAGCTCCTTCCCTTTATAAGGAGGACAAAAGGATCAGGCCTCCAGCATAATCCCCCCTCATACACACACACACACACACACACACTCTCTCTCTCTCT